AATGCCGCAAATCAGCATATTAGAATGGTTTCTTTAGGATAATGTGTCACTGAAGACTGCAGTAATGATGCTGAAAATTCAGCATTTCATTCATTTTAAAAATAGAAAACAGCTATTTTAAATTATAATAATTGTTTCGATATTACGTTTTTTACTGTATTTTCAATTAAATAAATGCAGCCTCGTGAGCATAAAAGACTTCTTTCAAAAATATTTCTAAAACATTTGACCAAAACTTTTGAAGTGTAATGAATAAAATAAACCATGCTCTTAAATACCATTTCCACATACATATTCATAAATGAAGACCAACATAACAGGTGATAAGTCAGACCCAGCAGTGAATAAAGCTAACTTGAATGAATACATAAACATGTCAATTCAGTCTGTGATTCATAGAGGCTGAATCAACACTGTAAATTTGAAAATCTTCAAAATAGCATTGACAGCCAACACTGCTTCAGATATTTAGATTTTTGGTTAGTCACAGAATATCGGTGAATTCTGTAACTGAATAATAGGGCCCGAGACTTTATAGTAATAATAGTCACATATCTGCCTGCAGCACAATATAAACGCTTCTTCACTCCTGAATCATTCTGAGAGATGATAACACAAAAAGCTCATCTGAGAGTAGACTGAATCTTCCAATGACAAAAGCTCAGTAACACTGGGCAGTCAGAGAGAGGAGACTCTGTATTAAAAGGAAAAATAACAGCTGAATCAGGAAGTAAATTAAAATCGTGTCATTTACCAGGATAATCAATAAATCTGGGGCTGCTGGTGTTATGAATGTGACATGGGCAGTGTATCACAATGCCACAACGCCAAGTGACTTCCTAGCTGTCTAAATGATAAATGATGATTGACTTGTATTTTTGAGCAATTCTACCCCCAGAATTATAGCTAGCACCAAAGCAGGCATACAGTTCCTATCTACAGTTGCTTTTGCAGATTTATCTGATCTGCCTTTGAAATCAGGCTGGTGGTGAAACAGAGCACTTGTAACTTGAGTAGAATCTATCTGAGAGTCTAGCCTGCAAGGACTGTACATTTATCCAAGCATCTTTCATCATTGTTACTGGAACACAGCACAATAGCTCTGCTCTAGTTTCATGCCTGCACAACACAAAACACAAATACAAGTGCTCAGAGATATAGAGCATGCAAATCAAATCAAAAGCGATGCGGCAGCGCTAGAGCAGTCCGCCCCTGGCGTCTCTCTCACTTCCTTTTTCTCTGCTGTCCTCACTCTCTCCCTCTTTCATTCCATACTGTGAATCTCTTATTTCCAGGTCAGGCAGAAAGGATGTGATCTGTCTCTAATTCCTCTCATATACTTCTACTTGTCTCTGTATAATAGCTAACTGGATATGAAATGTGTGTTAAATTCTCACTCAAGCACACACACTTTTCAGGGTTGTGCAGCATTCAGTATTGAATTATAAATGTCTTGATCTTTAAACAAAATTCCCAAATTTTAATTGTAATTGTAATTAAAAGGCTGATTTTTTTGTGTGAAATTAATTGCCTATAAACAGCATACACACAACATTTTCAATATATTAAAAATACATTATTAATAATAATATTGATAATGATATTAATACAGTATGTTAATAAGTCATTTTAATAATTTAAAAAAATATATTTTCAAAAATCATCTCAAGAAATTTGTATATAATTTATATACATTTCATTATGTTTACTTTAATAATAAATATACTTTAATTTAATAAACAAATAGTTTATAAATATGCATAATCAGTTCAAATTAATGGTGCATTTATTTTTGGCACATTAAATGTGATTAAATTAATTAAATACTGCGTGTCAGAGCTGAGTTTTGAATATTGTCTGTAATAACAAACAGAGATAAACACTCTCACAGGCACACAAACCCACATAATACAAAGCGACTGAAATCCCATCAAAACTACTTAGAGTTGAAGAGATGCTTAAGCATCATTTTGATGAGGACAGCAGAAAGGGGCATGAAGAGGGAGAGATGGAGAGAAAGTGGGGGATTAAAACATCAGAAGGTAAAACTTCCTTCCAGACTGATGTCCTGTCCCAAAGGAATGAAAAAAAAGAATAATCCCTCCCTTAAACGGACAGCCTGCACTTTTACCACCCACAGAGTGCTACACACACACACACACACACACACACAGTAGCTGAGTAAGCAAACGTATGAACTCTTCCCAGTTTGTTTGTCCTAAAGATACCTCAAGTTGCTGATCTAGGCCCAGACTTCAATAAATAAAGCCAGAATGACAGTTTTTATAGACCAACCACAGCATTATTCTGAGATCTTTTACCAACATGTGTTTATTTTTATATTCCTTTAAAGGTCTATACCAGAATATTTCTGTATTTTATTCAGAACGTTTTGAAGTTTTATTTTACATTTTTGTCTGATGTTTTAATTAGCATTTAATTTTCTATTTCCTATTAAATTTAGTATTTTATTTCATTTCATTTAATTTTATGTTATGTTATTTGATTGTATTATTTGATTTTAATATATTTTATATTTAATTATTTTATTTTATATGTAATTTCAGAATTTAGCAATAACAACATTTTATAATAATTAAATAATTATTGTAATTATTAGTATAATAATTATTACGACTAAACTAATAAAAACATGTAACATTTCAGAAATGAATAAAGAAATGTCAAGCCTCTTTACAGTGTTTTAAATTTTGTTCTTTCATGTTGTTTAATTTTAGATTTTATTTCATTATATTTTTTATTCTTATTTCATTCAATATTTCTTTTTTTTGTTGTTGCTATTTTACATAATATTTTTGTTATTTTATGTTGTTTTATTTGTTATTTTATATTTGAATAAATGTTAGACTTTATATTTATTTTTTTAAATTTAATTTAATTTGATTTGATTTGATTTCACTTTGTATTTAATATATTTGATTTGATTTGATTTGATTTGATTAGGGATATGACCCAGGCCAGACTCATGCCACAGCTCTAATGATTTCAGGTTTTACTACACTTGTGCGGGCCATTTGTTCTCTACAAAGATAGCAAATCCTGCCCACCACACACAGAGAGCTATAAAAGAAGTAACTCCCCCTACTTCAACAGCAGACATTGCTGAAAGATCAGCTGAGGAATAACTAGTGATACAGTTGGCACAAATCTTGAAGAATAACCTCTGCCCCTTAAGATCTGACCCGAGTATACTGCAGAATAATTCAAAATCAGTCAGAAGATCACACATCTCATGCACAAAATAATCCACAGACAGACAGTCTGCAAGGGCAAATGAGGACAAATCCAATAAAGAAGACTAGCAGCTGTATTATGCAGTTAAACAGAGCTGCGTTTGCATGCTTCATTAAGATGCTGAGAGTTATCAGAGATGCAGACATCCACACACACACACACACACACATGGCTTTGTCCAATCACCCCTGCACTCTCTAAAATCCCACCCACTCTCTCATTTGCCTCCAGGTGTTCATTTCTTTCTCAGTACGCCCCCCATTCCAATTAATGACTCTAATTGCATCCCCTGTCTAACGAGCTCAGAGAAAGAGAAAGGACTGTTTTTACCAACTCTATAATAACCTTAACCTAGAAGCAGAAGTCAGGAATGAAAACTGCCTCTGGTATGATGCTCCACAACACCAACCTGATAATAAAAAACACGCAACCCTAAAGCAAATGCACTTAGTAAGAGGACAAGTCAGTGATTGCTTGCACATGTTAAAAGATATTGACACAGAAAATATGTGGGTATCTCACAAAGGTTATCCAGAACATGTACAGGTCAAAAAGTCAAAAGACAAAAAAATAAATAAAATAACAATAATAATAATGATAATTATTATTATTATTTATATAGTAATACTACTACTACTACTACTAATTATTATTATTGTTGTTGTTTGTTGTAGTTATTGTTATTATCATTATTATTTTTTAAAGAACCTATTTTTAGTCTCTATTTTGATTTTTTTGTTGTTGTTGTAACATAGTTTTTGTGACAATTAAGATAATTACCCCTGAAATAAAATAAAATAATTAAACTAAATTAAATCAATTTGCCCAGATGCTCTATATAATATTAAAAATAAAAAATAAACGTTTTTAATAATAAAATCTATGGCATTTTTAATAAACATAAACAAAATCAATACAACACAAAATAAAAGACATAAAAAAGGTGTGCTGATTTTATTATATATTTTAATATCATATATCAGCATAAAATGTAACATCTGAACGTGTTGTACTGCATTTAATTTATTCACATTGTAATATGTGGCCTATAAAGTATTAAACTACAAATATAAAATATTTATATTTATTTATTATTTTTAATATATATTTTTACACACGTGTGTGTGTATATATATATATATTTTTTTTTAATACATTTATTTTAGTTTATTTTCATTAACGTTTAATTATATATTTTCATATATTTCATTTATTTTTAAGAATTACTTTAAATTTAAAATTACATTTTCATTTAAATTTAACTTTTAAAATATGCCTTTTATTTTACCTAAGATTACATGTTATATGGACAATATAAAAAAAAATTGCTGTTTCATGTGAAAATGTTTCAAAGACACCCCCTCACACACACACACACACACATCAAAGGAGCAAAACAAAACCCATTTATCACATTACAGATTTCTGCATTGGATATCAATTGAAAATAAAAAAATTAATCAGGTTAAATAAATGTTTTTTCCTACATTTTTGTCTACTTTTACTGATGGTGTTGAAAACTACACAAATCAACTCACTATCGAGAAGAGTCGTTGAACTCCGAAGGGCCACGGGTGCAATAAAAGCCTGTCTGTTTTATGTGTCCTATCACTTTTCTTCTGCCATAACCTGATAGCTGAGCAGAGAGGAAACTTTCTCAGGCAGTAAAAAGTGACTGAACTCCAGTGAAAGTGGACCACACAGCGATCCTCCATCCTCAGACATCACAGGCGCAGATTATTTCCCGGTTCTGGCTGAATAACACAAATACCTGGGGGGCAAAGGTCTGGTCAGGAGGATTCTGGAGACACAAGAGAGCATTGAGTGACCCCTGGCTTTTAGTATGAGGGCCATGTATGGCATCTGACCTCTAGCATTGGCTTAAAAATATCCCCAGACTGAAGATAGCTCTTACAGTATACTGTAAAAATGAGAAGATACATTTGGGTTTCCTCAGGTTGAACTGGAGGAACCCTCTGGAGAACTTCTGGCAACTTCTGAAGCTGTCAAATATCCTATTGTATGCTGAAGAAACTTCACTATGCAAATCAAGTACCTCAAATAGTTTCCCTTAGGGTTGCTGGAATGTTGACAGTATTGGAGAAACTTCCATCTTGTAAGTTCCTCAGAAAACAACCATTCTGAGAGGGCACCTAGAAGGTTTTGAACATATCGATACATTCCACAAGAGATTAAATGAATATATTTGGACTAGACATAACCTAGGATTAACAGAGTCAGGTTTAACCAAACAAAAGCATTTCAATTCTTACAAACTAAGAAGAAGTTTCAAAGAGATGGGACAAGATCAAAAAGTGGGAAAACTGTAAAGCTAAACCCAGAAACAAGGTCTAAAAAGTCAATAAAATCACCTTAAGTTCTTTGACATAAAGAGCCCTTATGTAACATTAACATCGAGCCAAAACATCCCCTTAGATTCGCGCTGGCCTCCCACAGTGATCCAGGACATCTGGCCTTGTTGCTAGGAAACAGAGGTCCGAACAACCACTCAGGTCTTTAATATTTTCAATTAACTTATTTTTATGTTTTGAGATGTTTTAATAAGTGTGTGTGCTTCTGGCATTTTTTTTTTACTTTTTAAATACATTTTTAGTTAGTTTTCAGTTACCATCAAAGATTTTTATCACAACAACATTGAATAGAATCAGGTTTAATACTATACCTGAACAATTTATTTTTTCCCCATCACAGCCCAAAAGTGTAGTTCATAAAGACACACACATATTCAGTCCGCTCAATCTTTATTGAATAAAGCAGAGATCAGAGGAAACAAACATCACTTTGTAGCTGTAAGAAGGCAGATAGTGCCCACATAGTAGTGTATGGAAAAACATGGCTAAAGTATAATTTCTTAAACATTAACTTTAACTAGCAAAAATAGAGATCATAATCGTCACTGGGCTAAGTGCTTACGGAAGGGGGATCCACATTGGTCACCATTATTTCAAAGCTAAGTCTTTGATTAGAGCTGGACTTCAGTGATGCCTATAACACCACAGGCCAGACGACCTCCAGCGTTGCCAGTTTTAAGACTTTCATCATTGCCTCCTTTACCCAAGTCATCCTCTTTCTCATGGATCTAGAGCAGAATATACACAATTAAGTCAGCTGGTTTGTGCTATTAGATATGCATCGGATTATAAATCCAGAGTTGTTTTCTTACCACCATGGTCCTCCCAATGACAGAGTGTTCCCCTAAAAGGGTCACCATTTCATCCACAATGTCAATTTTTGCAACACCACTGTCACCAGCTATCACGTTACCAAGGTCTCCGACATGTCTGTGGGACACAGAACATTACAGTAATAAAAACACTTGCTAGAACTCGGTTGCTTGAAATTACACTGAAAAGGTTACCTTTTACAGGTACAATGTTTACATTTAGAAAAAAAACAAGTGTTCAACACTAGAATATGCTCTTTATAAAAACAAACTCAAACCATAAAGTTAACAGAGCTTTAAAATAATACTTTAATAGTCCTTTCCACTTGAATTTTTGACAATACATTCTTACTGTATTTGATCCATTCAGTGACTATAAAATAATTATGATTTTTATTGTGAATATCATTAAATAAAAAATATGAAAAATATTCAAAGACAGAAATATTAGGGCTGGGTTTTGACTCAAACTCTGATTCACAAGCTTGCGATTCGACTCCATTCAAACAATATCAGGGACATTACATGACAAATTTTCTCAAGGAAAAAAAAAAATCTCTTAACTAATGCTGTAAAATATACACGAGAGTCAGCTGGTACTACATTACTATAATACTGAAGGTTAAAATTAACTGACTTGTAGACAAACGCTTAAATTACACTCAGTGAAGTTTTTTTTAAAATAAAAGTTACAATTACATAATTATATTTCTACTTCAATTCGTTTTTTGAAATATAAACATTTAAATGATGGCTGTCATAAAAACTTGATGGATTTATTCAAAAGTAAATCACCTAATGAGTTTATAGTCACCGATGTTTTTTCCTTGAGGTTTTCTCTTTCTTTTAACATACCTTTGGATTTCTTTAAAGTTTATTTCGTGCTGAAACTGGTATTAAAGTGAAGGAAATGATCAGTTCATGTGTGCTTCGTGCTGCCGCTTCTCTTGAACTGAGGCACTACAGCGATCTGTCACTCCACATTAAACAGCGCCAAAACGGCATTTATTGTTTGAACACAGAATGGACAGAATTTGAAATCTAAGACTTTGTTTCGTATCAAAAGTAACCAAGCTTATTGCCATTTTTTGTGCTATAATGTTCCGTTCATTAACTGAAAACAGGTTAGACTAATGGATTCTTGGGATTTAAGAATCGATATTGTTTCATAAAAATAATAATCAATTAAAATTGGGAAACCAATATTTTTTTTACCCAGCCCTAAGAAATATATACTAATAAACTATTGCTCCGTAAAATATAATGCCCTTAAAAGCGTAAAATGTACTCGTTTTAATTTGATCTCAAAGGTCAGTATAGTCAATAATGATGGGTTTGGGACTGTTTTGCTATCAACGTTTTTAAGTTGTCATTTACTGTGGATTCAAAATAATCACCACATTTATAGCTCATTTGATTAACTCCTGTAAATAACTGAGTAACCACAAATGAGATGAACAGGACAGCTAACAGACAAATTATTATAGTCCTCTGTGCTCTTTGAACATTGCAATATCTTACTGAATACAAAAGTAATAGAACACTATTTAAGAAGTACTGCTCTTTAGATATATGACAACTTTGTGGGCAGGTAGAGTTTGTACTGTGACCTATACCACGAATAGATCATAAAAATGAGCTTTTCACCAAATATAGAGATTAGGAAACACGTAAAGGGGTCGTGCCATACAGCACACTGCTAAACTCACCTGACACCATCAGTTGGTCCACCGTGAGTTTTATCGTGAGGGTTGAAGTGCGGACCTGCACTGATGCAGCCTGTGAGGAAACAAAATGGTTTATGTCTGTGTTCAAAATAAAGACATATCTAGGGGTTTAAGGTAAAAGTCATCAGTCGTAATGGGATTAAGCTGTACTTTAAGGTCAGTGACAGGAGTAATAATGGTGCTTACCGTTTGTGTTGTCTCCAAAAGCATGGACATGGAAACCATGCTTTCCTGGAGTAAGGCCAGTGATTTCACCGGAGAGCTTCACTGGAGACCCGTCATTCTAAAACAAACAGATCACTCATTTGGTCGATGATGGTTTCATATCACTTCAAACAACAGAAGCATTTACTGTTTGGCATTGTGCATGGAGCAAACAACACCAAAGTCATGGGTTTGATTACCAGGGAATGCAGGAACTGATCAAATGTATACCTGCAACGTAATGCAAGTGAAATAAAATCCCCTGCCAAATGCTTAAATGTAAATACTTGACAGGGTTTCTGCAGGTTTTATAAAGGTAAATTTAAAACTTTAAGATCAAGAATATGTCAGGAATAAATTGAAGGGAGCACAATATGTTGGGAAGCACACAATGAGCTGCTTTAGCAACAATTCAAAGCTTGAAAACAACTTTCAAGGGGTCCTATTATGCTTTTTCACTTTAGTTAGTCTGTAATGCTGCTGTTTGAGCATAAAAAAGATCTGCAAAGTTCACTTCAAAAGGAGAAATTTTATTTAACAGAAATCACTTTTCAAAAACTACAACGAACGACTCGTTTGGACTACAGCGCATATTTTCCGGGATTTGTGATATCACAAATATCGACGAATGGGACGAGACCTGGTTGAGCTGCGCTAGAGAAGGCAACGAGTGTTATCACTAAGTCGGAGACACGCTAGCTTTCCCAAGGCAGATGAACTTAGAGTGGTTACAATCATCCGGGTTTAAATCGCACTCAAATTGATTTGATTTTGACGCAATATTTACACTGAAGCTCGCAGGCGGCTATGGTAAGGGGCATGACATTTCCCGACCAGGCGCCGAGTGCTGCCAATCACAACACACACTGGCCCAGCTAACCAATCACAGCACATTTCGTATTTCAGAAGGCGGGCCTTCATTTGATACAGGAACTATTCAAGCCGTTCATGCCAGACTGGGGAGAGAGGTGTTGTAATAATGTAAAATATGTGAAAAACAATGTGTTTTTCGAACAACCTAGCATGAGAGCCTGTTCCAGTACACCCCCAAAACAAAATCAAGACTTTGTAAAGAGCATAGGACCTTTAATTTTGAAAACATTTTTTTAATAGCTTAAGGCTTGGATAGATCTGCTCACAACTGATAGAACATAGAAATAATTTACACTTTATCTACTTAACACACTGTAACAAGTAATGTTCTTCCTTTGTGTTTTTGTCTTGTTTTCCAGTGCAAATGTCTAAATATTTGTAAATCAAGATACATGGAAAATGGCAAGATAAGAAATCTTGTTTTCTGATGAAATGAGATTATGATTAAAACAAGAACAAATAGCCCATCTAAAAAAGTAGGTCAAAAAGCTTTACTTCAAAAGAAAAACAAGTTTTTATATTCCATTGACATATTTGCTCATGTTTTAATCAAACTCAGTTCATATCTTCATTTTGCATCTCAAGGAAATGTTGATTAAAGGATGTTTAGAATTGTTTTCAATGCATGTAACATTTAATGCCATGGATATGAATAAGGCTACTCAAGATTTAATTACTGAAAGGGCAAATTAAGACGTCGCCCAAGTATATAAATATGACCAGCTTTATGACTATAACACTACAAATGGTGTTTGAAGAGCAATGAAATGCTTTTACACCAGTAACGTTACAGTTTGAGGCTTTGCCAGCATTTAAAGTGTGCCTTGATCTCTGTCCTATTTGGCAAAATTTTGCCAGCAAACAAAAAGAGACAGAGAAGCATGACTCTGCAAACTTGTCCCTTCTAGTTATAATTTCATGAGAATTTCAAGGTGAAGTCGATGACACCACAGTCTGCCACCAAACGCATAACAGTTTCATCATTCGCGTGCATGCATGCGTGCAAATAATCAGCACGGGGGCGCATACTAAACGCAGACCTGCCATCGTATCAAAGGTCATTGCTGAGTCGCTTTTAACGGTTCTAACGCATTTATGCAATGTAACATTGTAGTCAGTCAACAAGTGAAATGTATAACAGGCCACTGTAGTTTAATATCGAATTTGGTCATCAATATCTGCATGAGATTAGCACAGCTAATCCCATGTAACTGCATAAGCATGTCAAGCTAATGCGAGGACTCCTAAATTTAATTATGAAGCACATAATAAAACATGCTGCAAGTAGCTCGCTGCTCTCCCGCTGCTACAGGAACGTCATAACAAACGCAGCAAAAAAAACATCACCTTTTTTTTACCTCTTGCTCGAAATAAACAGTGCCGGTCACTTCCCCGGTGCCTTTAAGTACACAAACTGCCTTCTTCACCATGCTGCCTTTGAATTAAGCAAACTGCAAAGTTGTGACTGAAAGTGAAAGAAATGGACAGTGTTTGATGAGAGAGGAGGCGCGT